GAATGAACGAACGAACGAACGAATAAATGAACGAATGAACGAATAAATGAATGAATGAATGAACGAATGAATGAACGAACAAAGGAGCGAACGAACGAATGAACGAATGAATGAATGAATGAACAAACGAACGAAGGAGCGAACGAACGAACGTACGAATGAACAAATGAATGAATGAATGAACAAACGAATGAATGAATGAATAAACGAATGAATGAATGAATGAACGAACGAATGAATGAACGAATGAATGAATGAATGAATGAATGAACGAATGAATGAATAAATGAATGAATAAATGAATAAATTAATGAATGAACGAACGAACAAATAAATGAATGAACGAATTAATGAACGAATGAACGAACGAATAAATGAATGAACGAATGAGCGAACGAATGAATAAATGAATGAACGAATGAATAAATTAATTAATAAATGACTGAACGAATGAATGAACGAATGAATGAATGAACGAATGAACGAATGAACGAATAAATGAATTAATAAATGAATGAACAAACGAACGAACGAATGAACGAACAAATGAATAAATGAATGAATAAATGAATGAACGAATGAACGAATGAATGAACGAACGAATAAATGAATGAATAAATGAATTAATAAATGAATGAACGAATGAATGAACGAACGATTGAACAAATGAATAAATGAATGAATAAATGAATAAAGGAATGAACGAACGAACGAATAAATGAACGAATAAATGAATAAATGAATGAACGAATGAATGAATGAACAAATGAATGAACGAATGAATAAACGAACGAATAAATGAATGAATAAACGAATGAATAAACGAATGAACGAACAAACAAATGAACAAATGAATGAACGAACGAACGAACGAATAAATGAATGAATAAATGAATAAATTAATGAATGAACAAACGAACGAACAAATAAATGAATGAACGAATTAATGAACGAATGAACGAACGAACGAACGAATAAATGAATGAACGAACGAACGAAGGAGCGAACGAACGAACGAACAAACGAACGAATGAACGAATGAATGAACAAACGAATGAATGAATGAACGATTGAAGGAACGAACGAACAAATGAATGAACGAATGAACGAATAAATGAATGAATGAATGAACGAATGAATGAACGAACAAAGGAGCGAACGAACGAACGAACGAACGAACGAATGAATGAATGAACAAACGAACGAAGGAGCGAACGAACGACTGTACGAATGAACGAATGAATGAATGAATGAACAAATGAATGAATGAATGAATAAACGAATGAATGAATGAATGAACGAACGAATGAATGAACGAATGAATGAATGAATGAATGAATGAATGAATGAATGACCTCTTTTCGCAGGAACAGTTTTCCCATCATGTCGGAGTAAGTGAAGTAAACGCCAGCAGAGTATCGGTGGAGCTGAGATCGAATCCCCTCGTCGTCTGCCTTCATACCTGCAGCCAAACAACAAAACATCCTGAGTGATGTGAGTCACACGAACACTTGGCAGTTACTTTTACTCCAGATGTTCTTGCTGACTCAACCACGGACACCGAGCTACCACAGCCTCTGTGGAGCACAGAGCTGCTGTCTAGGACACCTGGGGGAGCAGATGGTGGGGGTTAAGGGCCTTGCTCAAGGGCCCAGAGTAGGACGAATGAGGGGGGAGGCAGGTGTGGGTGCTTCACCTTTCCCACCCACATTTTGGTGTTGTCAGTACCGGGAGTTGAACCAGCGATCTTCTGATCACAGGCCCACCTTCTCTAACCTCTGCACCACCACTCCCTCACCTGTTCTAAGAAAGGTTGTCCAAAAGTCTTAATTTTGGTTTAAAAAACGTTGACTTTTGTTATTTTATTTTGTTTTTTACCATGAAACTGAAAATTTAAAATGCATGTGGGTAATTAAAGATAAAGAACTGTTTTTTATTGCACATTTTAAGATGGTTTCATCCTGTTTAAATGTAAACCTATAAATTATTTTTCTAAATCCTTAAAGTATGCAAAAGGTTTTCATCTGCCTCAGTGTCTTTCACCCGCAGACTAAAATGACATCTCTCCTAAACTGAAGCTGTAAATTATGTAGAATCACACCCAATGCCACACTGTGGATAACCTGCATTAAACATCTGCTTTTAACTGAATCACTTTCCCTGAGAAATGAAGCACTGCTTCAATATGCTGCAAACATACCAATGAATTTACACAAGTTTTATTCATCAGCATCATTTATGAGCCAAACACAGCATGTAGTATCATATCTGTAACTTAATGGGACTTTTTGAGAATTGGGGCACTCACTGAAAGATGGGGCTGCTGCAGGTGGTGGGTCAGGGATCTTCTGAAGGCGAGGCTCTGGAGGAGGTGGTGGGGAGTCAGGTGGAGCAGGAAAAGGCTGCTTGGAGCCCTGAGAGCCAAATAACTCTTCCAAGGGACGCTGCTTCTGCCTCATAATGTTGGAAATGACCCTGCGGCCCTCAGTGGAGGGGGTAGAAGGTGGTGGTGACTTAGGGGGAGGAGGATGTCTCTGCAAGTCACAAAGCAGGAAAAAAGATTCACAACGTGGAACAAATAAAAAGCTGAAGGTGTGTTATTAGCAGTTTCTGACCTGTGGTGGTACTGGTGCTTTGTTTTTAAGTTTGTCCAGAGCTTCTTGTTTGGGGTCACTCTTTTTGATAAATGTTCTTCCTGGGGTTCTGTAAGAAGGATACGCATGGTAAACCACAAACCTCCCTGTGTTTTTAGTAACCTGACCAATAAAATTACTGAGTAATCACACTGATGGACTCTAGTTATAGTTTTGGAAGAACCTTGTATCATTTTATGAGGAGAATAGCAGCTGATGGGTGATGCCAACACGTCTCACTGACTGACAAAACAAGACAAAAGAGCAAAGCTAAGTTCTGACACATAATCAGGATGAGGGACAGAATGAGGGGTCATGGTGGTTCAGAGCTGTCGCCTCTCAGCTAGAAGATTGCCAGATCAAATCTCAGTGCAGGGACCTTTCTGGATGGAGTCTGAATGTTCTCTCAGTGCACCGGGTACTCCAGTTCCCCACACAGACCAGCAATAGTCCAACACATATTGGCAGTGTGTAAGATCCAGGCAGGCAAAGCATACGTGGAACACCATAACCAACTGGCTGGAGTAATATACAGGAACATCTGTACCAAGTATGGACTGAAGGTCCCACAGTCAAAGTGACAGGCACCACCAAGAGTGGTGGAGAATGGAAGGGCTAAGATACTGTGGGACTTCCAGATTCAGACCTACAAACAGGGGATGGCAAAACAACTGGACAATGTGGTGGTGAGCAAGCAAAGAAGAAGACAGAAATCCTAAGAGCATTCCTTAACATCAGGAAGAAGGAGCATGAGAAGCTGGAGATAGACCAAGGTCTGAAAGAGGAAATACAGAAGATGTGGAAAGTTCCATCAGTCCCAGAGGTCATTGGAGCACATGGTGCTGGGACCCCCAAACTGGAAGGACAGACAGACAGACAGGATATAAGCTGTTGTCTCTTAGCGTGAAAGTAGCCGGATAGAATCCCAGTCCAGGGTCCTTTCTGGGTGGAGTTTGCATGTTCTCTCCGTGCATGTGTGGGTTTTCTCCGGGTGCTCCAGTTTCCTCCCACAGACCAAAAACATGCATGTTAGGCTGATTGGTAACTCTAAATTGTCCCTAGGTGAGAGAGAGAGAGTGAATGGTTGTTTGTCTCGTTTGTGTCCGTGTCCCTGTGATGGACTGGAGACCTGTCCAGGATGTGACTGGACATTGGCACCAGCAACTCCTGCAACCCAGAAAGGTAGAAGTGGGTAAAGTGATAGATGGATGGGACAGAGTGAAAGTGAAGGTGATGGGCGGTCTGTTAGCTGCCTTAGATAGTTAGATAGATATAATGACTATCTAGTGTAGGTGTTGTTGTTTATTATTATTATTTTTTAATAGGATAGAAAGAAAGAAAAGACAAAGTAAGACTCCAAAATATAAGAAATATACACAAATAGAGCACACTTCAAAACACCCAGCCACTGTCTGTTCACCTGCAAAGAACATGACAAAACACAGCAACAAAATACATATGTATAAAGAACTTAAAATATTCATGGCTTTGCAGTAAGTTTCCATAAATATATATACCCATACCTACGCCTATATACATACATACATAAATAGACATGAATATACACTCACATACATATCTATATATCTACATATAAAGCCTACATAAGCATCCCTGCATCTATTTGTGTGTGGTTGTGAGCATGCATAAGTGTATAAGGCTTCTCTAATAGAACATTTATTAGTAACTGTGAAGCAGCAGAGACCCGACCCCCAAGACCAGAGGCAGACGAAAAAGGGGGGACCAGAGCCCAAGACCCCAGGAGGGACCCCGACCGCGGAGCCCCCAGAGCCACCCACACAGGGCGAACCACTCACCCACCCCCCAGAACGGACCACAGGGGAGAACCGGAAGATCCCCACCAGCAACCACATACAGTGACCCCCCGGGGCCAACAGCGACAAACTCATAGGCCTCCGTCGGCACCCGCCGCACCGATGTAGGTCCAGGTCCAGGCACCGAGGCCCGGGCACCGAGGACCCACACCAGATTTAATGATCTTTAATGCAACTCTACTGAATTAGCCCAAATGTAATTGGACTAAATTATCATGTATGAGCCTTAAATTCAAACCTATAAATTATTTAAACACAAATTCAAATTACAGGACCATGCAACTTGTGTCACAGATTTTTGGGTGGCCCCTGTCCAGGTCTTGACCATACAAGATCCTGGTCCTGCGTTGGGGGGTGGTAGCAACATCCTGTCTGATCCAACTTCCTGTTTGGCCTTTGTGACTGGATTTAATTAGCCTGCATGTAACTGGATTCTTCTTTTTCACAACATCATTATTGTTGTTGTTGTTGTTGTTGTGTTACAATCAGAATAGTTTTTAATAAACCTTCAGAAGAGTGAAACCGTGACAACAGCAGAATAAACGTGTACAGATCAGGATGAATGTGAGAACAGGAAGTAAAGCTGACACGGACCTGACTGGCTGAAAAGACGCAGGCTCTGGTTGAGGACGACTGTTGTACTGTTTGATGATTTCCCTGATGTTGGAGGTCGGTGCAGAGTGAGGCTTGTCAGCAGGTTTAGGCTTTTCTGCGGGGGGGTCTGCTTTTTCAACTGGAGGAGTGCGAGGACGTCTTGCTGTGGGAAGGAAGAAGAAAAAACATGTAACATTGAGTCGTTTCCATCGTCTCTGCTTATGAGAGTGTCCTCTTTAGTTGAGTGACAAGGTGTCACCTGTTCTAGTCCTACCACACCTAACATGAACGTCCCAGAAAATCATCACGATTAACCTCATATTAACAAAATGTTCCACATAAATGCTTCTGTGTTTGATGTTATTATAAACTATTATTATATTTCTCAAATCTAAACATGGTCTAATCACAAAACATGACATGAAACATTTCTCTGAACAAGGTTTCATTCATGATCCGGAGCATTTCACCTGGGATAGAAGTGATGCAATCATACATAATCAAACATTGAGCATGACAAGTGTCCGGGGAACCAAACTTTGGTCAAGGTTCATGGATGTTTTGAAACACTATGCCTGAGAATGTTAACTGCCCCCGAGCTGCCCATGAACCGTGTGTTTGAATTAGCAGAGAGCTGAATGAGGAGCTGATTTGATACTGCATGTACAGCTGGTGACTCCAGGGTCGCCTCCGAGTCTGCGAGCTCGGAGGAGTCCATAAGCATTATTAAAAACTCTTCCCGCACACTGTCCGGTGCAGATCCTCACAACATGGCTTCAGTGAAACACCTGTGTAAGTCTGTTGTGACCATCTGTCCTTGCAAGTAAACTCGGATAAAGAATCTCTCCTCCTGTCGTCGTGTGCGGCTCCTTTAAGTAAAATAATAAGAGAATATGTTGTCCAACAATAACTTCTCTAAATCAGTAAATAAACATGCTTCATTTAAAAGATTTAGGGTAAGAGAGAGCTAAATGACTGGTTTACTCATGCGCTCTCAAATTAGCTTCGTGAGCGTAATTTAACATGCAAGCGCAGAAACCTGGATCTGACTCAGACTGGCTGAGCTTTAGGAAACTGACATGCTTCATCCTTTTCTATAAGGAATGCAACAGCCCAGTGACTTTTGTACAAAACTTCAAGATCCCTAAACAATCATCAGAAGTTCTGGAAAACAGTCAAATCATGGAAAGAAATATAGGTCAGCCATGTTGCATTTTGAAGGACTCTCAAGTTCTCTCTGACAGGTCGGAGATGCTGGATGTCTTTCATGGGCATTTTATTGCTTCAACCCTCAGGCTGAGAGGCGGCAGGTTTACCAGCTGTGTCACAACTGTAGTGTCAGTAAACACAATTTAAACAGTGCCAAAGACTAAAACGATCCTAGATCAATATATTTAGAGTATTATGCAATAATGTTCTGGTCAATCCAACAGACTCTCACTGGCCTTGATATTAAATAATAATAAAACACATTTCTGCAGCTTGACTGCTACAGTTAATGCTGAAGTTTTGAGCAAAGCTCTCGCTCAGTGAGTGGCACTCAGAGTGTTGTGAATGACTCAACTACAGCCGCACATAGTTTCAGACCATTATCTGGAAAACTGACTGAATTGAACCATTTTAGTGTTTTCAAAGCTCGGCTGGCTCTGTGGTCGTTTGGTTAGTTTCAAAACTTAATCCATTATAAATACACCGTCGATGATTTTTACCTGAAATGTTCCTAAATTTGTCCAGTTGTTTATGAGGTAACATGCGATCACACAGAAACAGTGTGCGTCTCTGCCACGTGGCCGGGGGCGATCAGGCAAACTAAAGACTCCTTACTGATGTCAGCTGATGGTGGTTTGGTTGTTGAACGTTTTACTGACACTTTATTAGAAATGGTGGCTTGTTCAGCTGATTGGTAAATCAGCTGGAGTGTTTCTAAATGAGATTATGGATTATGTCAAAGCAGAGAAGATATTTAATCTCACCTTCAGGCTTCTGTGCTACTGGTGGAGGGGATGGACTCGGTAATGGACGTGTGCGCTGCGTTTGCTTTGGTGAACTGGGTGGGGCTGGTTCACGCCTGGAGAGTCTGGGTTCCCGCTGAGGTTGGGAACCTAAAGAAGGGTGGAGATCAAATACAACGTGAGCAAAAACCTGCTATGAACTGTAAGAAATGTTCACGTTTTACTACAAATGCTAAACTTACCGATCTTCTGGAAGAAATTCCTTTTTTCTTTAAAAGACTGCCGTTCTTCTGGGTCAGTTGAGTCTTCTTTTTCTTCTGACTGTAAGAAGCATGGACAGCACGGGATCACACTTTATGAAAAAACATTCAAGTCATGGTAATGTTTTACATATAAAGCATAATAAGGATTACATTAATCATTTTACATATAAAGCATAATAAGGATTACATTAATCGTTTTACATATAAAGCATAATAAGGATTACATTAATAATTTTTTCTCAAAGGCAAAATATGCATAGATGATCAGAAATGTACTGTGGCCAAAACGTAGATTAGAAATATACTTTATTGATTCCCTGAGAGAAATTGGATTGTTATTACTCAAATTTACATCTTCATACATGAAGAGGGATATAAACTTCATCAATAGATGGTGCCAATCTATACCCTTCTGGACCAATAATCAATAATCATAAGAGAAACCAGTGCTGGGTTTGAACTTCAGCAAGCTGTCTTCACTGTGTCTGTGTTGAGTTGCTGCCACATGATTGGCTCATTAGTAACATGAACATGAAGAAACATGAACACGAAGTAACACGAACACGAAGAAACATGAACATGAACTAACATGAACATGAACTAACATGAACATGAAGTAACATGAACATGAAGTAACATGAACATGAAGAAACATGAACATGAAGTAACATGAACATGAAGTAACATGAACATGAAGTAACATGAA